CTGAGTGACGACTGGTCCTCTCTGTTTCACCAAAGAAGCGATCTAAGGATCTAATAATACATGCATGTGTAAATAAAGTAGAAGCAAACAGTAGTGATAGAAACAAACCGTTTAGAGCAAGAAACCTGTTACACAGGTTGAATTACACAAATTGATTGTGTTTGCAAAGTTTAGGTACTCTTTACACTTTAAGCCCTTGTTTTGCACATTTGTTCCAGTTGAAACGAAATGAATCACAATTGCCTCATTCCATCCTCCCGTTTATCCACATTTGGTTACACTTTGCTATTAATGTGCGTTTTGATGCCCACTGTACCTTGTAAATGCCACAGCACGCCCGCGCTGAGGAGAGAAGGGCTCAGGGGCAAACAACACAACACACAAGGCACACCGTGGACAACATCAAAGCCTGTCAAAACTATAATATGAGATTGATCCCTGTCCAAGCGGCTTCACAGTTCAGCAACTACAGAAAAGACAAAGGGATTTTGCTCATGAGTAAGATCTTGTTTAGTAGTGATAGAGGCGGTCAAACAAGGAAACGCCTTAACAGAATGAACGCATAGGTCAGTTTTATTATTCATTGGCTTCTCAGTTGAGTTAGCTCATCACTGACACACACACACAATTGTTGACAGAGCTCCCTAAGGTGTGTCTTTTCCTGCACATATGCTGCTGGACCGTGCACAAATGTCAAGAGCAATAATCAACATGTCACTCTGGATTATGCTTCCCTCCTCGGTGTTTAGCAACTCGGTGGCTACACGAATTCTGACGGGAAAAATATCAATTTAAAGCTGGTGTACCTAACTTTAAAACCATAGACATAATTCTTCATTCTCAAAACTAGTCTGGATCTTCATTAGATAAAGTTTGACATGTTTTTTTGGACCCATTTCAACATTTTATCATGAGGAAGACAGAATTGTGTCAATATTAAAGAGTCCAAACAAAATCATCATCAAAATCTGGACTTGTTCTAAAGCCATAACATATTTTTATACAAGGACAACTTTATAAATGCATTTATGCATTTATGTAAGCACTCAATAAGCACTCAATATTCTGTAAAGGAACGAAATGATATTATGGTAGAGGATGGTTGCTCTGATTCTTTATTTCTAGAAGTAAAAACAATAAAAGGCTCTATAATTATTGGAGTAGTATATCGACCACCTGATTCCAATTATGAAACATTTAGAGACCACTTCGATAACATGTTAAACTACATAAATATGATGAAGAAAAACTGTATTATCATGGGTGACTTTAACATAGACCTATCTAAAGAAGATCTAATAGGAACTGATTTCCAAAATACCCTCTGCTCCTCATCATTCTATCCCACTATTGATAAATACACCAGAGTTACAGAGAGAAGCAAGACCACTATAGACAATATAATAACAAACATCCAAAACACTGGATGCAAGTCAGGTGTAATATATTCTGATATCTCTGATCATTTTCCTGTTGCTCTGTTCACAAACTGGATCAATAGAGTACCAGATTCATGTTCAGAGAGGAAGATAAAAGTTCTAAATAGCAAAACCCTCGTTAATCTCTCCCTACACCTCAAAAACAAAACCTGGGATGAATTTTATAACATTTCAAACCCCAACAAGGCCTATAATTCCTTAATCAATGAAATTAATGATTCCATCAATGTAACCATTCCAGAGAAATCTTTAAAACATAGTAAAAGAGGGCATCCATGGATCACAAATGGAATCTTAAAGTCAAAAAAATAAACTCTATAAGGAATATAAAAGAAATCCAAATTGCTCTAATAAAGATCGATATACAAAATACAAGAACAAATTAACAAGTTTAATACGAGTCAGTAAAGCTAATTATTTTGCAAAAAGACTTAAAGCAATCTCAGGGGATCAGAAGGGGTCTTGGAAGGTGCTGAATGAGGTGCTCGGACGCAACAAAAAAGCACCAGTCCTCCCTGACGCCGGAGCATCAACTGAGTTTAAAAGTAATACCAAGAATGACTCTTTGCCCAATGCTTTTAATGCGTTTTTTTCATCAGTTGGAAGAGAGCTGTCCCAACAAATCTGCCCACCAGGGGGTGTAAATTATAAGGATTTTTTGACAAACAATTACTCTAGCTCCTGCTACCTCAGACCTACCTGCAAAATGGAAGTAACCAATATAATAAATAAAATGAAATGTTCATATACAGCTGGTGCTGATGGCATTTGCAGCAAAATCTTGAAAGCCATTGTGAATGAAATAGCTGAACCAGTGACTCATATAATTAATTTATCTTTACAACAAGGCATTGTCCCTGAACAAACTAAGGTGGCGAAAATAATGCCTATATATAAGTCAGGGGACAAAAATGACATACACAACTACAGACCCATATCTATTCTGCCCACCCTGTCCAAAATTTTGGAACGAGTAGTTTATGAAAGATTACTAGATTATTTAAACAAACACAACATACTGGATCCTTCACAATATGGCTTCAGGAAAAGCAGCAGCACGTATATGGCCATATTAGATCTAGTTGAAAAAATCAACAATGCTCTTGAGGGTAGAGAAATTGGTGTTGGGGTTTTTCTCGACCTTTCCAAAGCATTTGACTCGATTGACTTTCAAGTCTTACTTGGTAAACTCTCTCACTATGGCGTCCAGGGTGTAGCTCTCCAGTGGTTTAGGGATTATGTCTATGGTAGACAACAGTACGTGAACATAGATGGGTCTGACTCTCAACTGGAAAACATAACATTTGGTGTTCCCCAGGGATCTATACTAGGGCCCCTATTATTTATTATCTACATTAATGATTTTGGAAATTCTTGTGATATTCATCGAATACTTTTTGCAGATGACACAAATTTGTTTATGTCGCATAAACGCATCGATCACCTTGAAAACTCCCTAAATGAGCAACTCATCAAAGTAAACAACTGGTTCAGATGCAATAAATTGTCACTTAATCTCAACAAGACTTCTTATATGATCTTTCATTCAAATAGTCATTTGTACCACGACCCAAATATTAATATAACCATTGATAGTAAAACCATTAATAAAGTTGAAGTTATAAAATTCTTAGGAATCCATATAGATCAATTTACAAATTTGAAAAAGCATCTTGATGAGCTTGTTAAAAAATTGTCAAAAATTGTAGGTTTATTGTTTAAAGTGAGACAGTTTCTTCCCTTAGAAGCTTTACTGTCCTTGTATAGATCTCTGTTTGAGCCTCATTTGAATTACTGTAATATCATATGGAATAATACCTACCCCACGTACATGTCTAAACTTCAAATATTACAAAAGAAAGCCATAAGAGCACTTTCTTGGTCCTTGGGTCATGCTCCCACAGATGTTCTCTTCCATAGATACGGTCTATTGAAGTTGCCTGAAGTTAATCTCTACCATAATGCGTGCACAATGTATAGTGTGGTTAACAAGTTAAATGTTCGATTGTGTGAACTCATTCCATTATATTTACCATCACACCAACATAATACTAGGAACAAACTGCTGCCTAAAGGGAAATACAGAAAATTAAAATGCACAAGTTTTAGTATTTGCCACAAAGGCCCAACTACATGGAATGAGTTGGATAGTAACCTAAAGCAATGTGCCACATTATCCAAATTTAAGAGGGAACTGAAGGTTCATCTACTGGGGAAGTATGTGACAGCATGAAAGCGTTGAAGCACAAAGAGTCTTGAACCACTCTCTACTTTGTATCTGTTTGAGGCGAGAGGTAGATCTCTCTTTCACAGCCATGATCTCAGGGCTGGCAGAAGTTACCCTACAGTAAACTCCAGCTGCAAACACTTACAACTATATATTAGGAATACATTAAATATTATTCTTATCATTACTATAAAATTATTATTGGTAGTGGAGATGAGCATTCAGCAGCTTCGCCTGCCAAAGTGTTCTGTACTTCCTTGAAGTGTGGTGAAGATGTTATTATTTCTTATTCTTTATTTATCTATTATTGTTATTGATTTAGGATTATTATCTTTACTGTCATTATTATTATTATTATTACTTATGTATTCTGGGAGCACTAGTTACTTTTTATTATTATTACTATTATTTATTATTTTTATTTTTATTATTATTTATATTATGATGATTGTATGTTTGACTGTAGGTTTGTGACTGTGGTGGTGGTGTGATGGACCCCTAATGTAAAAGCTTCTGCTTCTGGGAGTTCCATTTTCACAATGTAACACATGTACTTTTAGGGACTGTGTGAATTGTGAATAAACTAAACTAAACTAAACTAAACTGGTACCAGGTACTTTTTTAGTACCAGCCTGGTCCTGGTTCTATCCAGGCCGAGCTAGTGCTAAAATGTTCTAACTGACCACAGCGCTGCTGGAAGCCATGGATACCAAGGAATTTCTCCGGATACTGGTTTGTTGTGGGTAGGTTTCCCTTTTATTTCTAAATGTATGATGTTAAGCAAGTTATATTTATATTAGAATTGTACTTATATTGTTATTTGATATGTATTTGTTGTTTGTCTTGTTTGAGTCGAGTCAAGTGGGGCTGGTGGAAACGGGGCTAATGATAATGAAAACATAATTACTAATTAACTTAGCAGGTAAATAAGTAAATCACGTGACCAACCACAGCATGAGGATGACTACAAACAGAATATTACATCCCATAAACAAGAAACAGCACTATTTACACCTGAACAACTAGCATACAACACACTCATGAAGCCGGAAGTTAAATATTGAGAAAAGAAACAACCAGGTCGAGTCGAGTCGAGTCGAGTCGAGTCGAGTGGGGCTGGTGGAAACGGGGCTAATGGTCACGGAAACATAATAAACATTTAGCTCAGCAAGTAAATACACACAACACGTGATCAACTACTGCATGTGGACGACTATAAACCGACTATAAACCGACTACAAACCGACTACAAACCGACTACAAATACATACATAAACACCAGTGTGTCCAGCTGGAGTAGTTAAAGTATCTTACCTCGTCCCGCGGAGCTTCACATGGTCCGTGGACAGAACTCTGAAACAGTCCGTGGACAGAACTCTGAAACAGTCCGTGGACAGAACTCTGAAACAGTCCGTGGACAGAACTCTGAAACAGTCCGTGGACAGAACTCTGAAACAGAAGCGGAACCAAAGTTTGTTGAGGCTGAAAAGTCTCACAGAAAATGGGCTTCGCTTCAAAGTTTTCTGCGTCGCTTCGTGATTCTGACACAGGTGAAGCCAGGGGCGGAGCAGAGGAAGGGAAGGGAGGAGGGGGGACTACAGGGGGGGGGGACTACAGGGGCGGAGCAGAGGAAGGGGAGGAGGGGGGACTACAGGGGGGCCGAGGGAGAGGAGGAGGGACTACAGGGGCGGAGCAGAGGAAGGGGAGGAGGGGGGACTACAGGGGGGGCCGAGGGAGAGGAGGAGGGACTACAGGGGCGGAGCAGAGGAAGGGGAGGAGGGGGGACTACAGGGGGGCCGAGGGAGAGGAGGAGGGACTACAGGGGCGGAGCAGAGGAAGGGGAGGAGAGGGGACTACAGGGGGGGCCGAGGGAGAGGAGGAGGGACTACAGGGGCGGAGCAGAGGAAGGGGAGGAGGGGGGACTACAGGGGGGCCGAGGGAGAGGAGGAGGAGGGACTACAGGGGCGGAGCAGAGGAAGGGGAGGAGGAGGGACTACAGGGGGGCAGAGGAAGAGGAGGTTGGACTACAGGGGGCAGAGGAAGGGGAGGAGGAGGGACTACAGGGGGGCAGAGGAAGAGGAGGTTGGACTACAGGGGGCAGAGGAAGAGGAGGTTGGACTACAGGGGGCAGAGGAAGAGGAGGAGGAGGGACTACAGGGGGGCAGAGGGAGAGGAGGAGGGGGGACTACAGAGGGAAGAGGAAGAGGAGGAGGAGGGACTACAGGGGGGCAGAGGAAGAGGAGGAGGGGGGACTACAGGGGGGCAGAGGAAGAGGAGGAGGGGGGACTACAGGGGGGCAGAGGAAGAGGAGGAGGGGGGACTACAGGGGGAAGAGGAAGAGGAGGAGGAGGGACTACAGGGGGGCAGAGGAAGAGGAGGAGGGGGGACTACAGGGGGGCAGAGGAAGAGGAGGAGGGGGGACTACAGGGGGAAGAGGAAGAGGAGGAGGAGGGACTACAGGGGGGCAGAGGAAGAGGAGGAGGGGGGACTACAGGGGGGCAGAGGAAGAGGAGGAGGGGGGACTACAGGGGGGCAGAGGAAGAGGCGGAGGGGGGACTACAGGGGGGCAGAGGAAGAGGAGGTTGGACTACAGGGGGGGCAGAGGGAGAGGAGGAGGAGGGACTACAGGGGGCAGAGGAAGAGGAGGTTGGACTACAGGGGGCAGAGGAAGAGGAGGTTGGACTACAGGGGGGGCAGAGGGAGAGGAGGTTGGACTACAGGGGGCAGAGGAAGAGGAGGTTGGACTACAGGGGGGGCAGAGGGAGAGGAGGAGGAGGGACTACAGGGGGGGCAGAGGAAGAGGAGGAGGCAGAGGCAGAGACAGAGACAGAGACAGAGACAGAGACAGAGGCAGAGACAGAGACAGAGACAGAGGCAGAGGCAGAGGCTGAGGCAGAGGCAGAGGCAGAGGCAGAGGCAGAGACAGAGGCAGAGGCAGAGACAGAGACAGAGACAGAGGCAGAGACAGAGACAGAGACAGAGGCAGAGGCAGAGACAGAGACAGAGGCAGAGACAGAGGCAGAGGCAGAGACAGAGGCAGAGGCAGAGGCTGAGGCAGAGGCAGAGACAGAGAGAGAGGCAGAGACAGAGACAGAGACAGAGGCAGAGACAGAGACAGAGAGAGACAGAGACAGAGACAGAGACAGAGGCAGAGGCAGAGACAGAGACAGAGGCAGAGGCAGAGGCAGAGGCAGAGACAGAGACAGAGGCAGAGACAGAGACAGAGGCAGAGACAGAGGCAGAGACAGAGGCAGAGGCAGAGAGGCAGAGGCAGAGACAGAGAGAGAGGCAGAGACAGAGACAGAGACAGAGGCAGAGGCAGAGACAGAGACAGAGACAGAGACAGAGAGAGAGACAGAGACAGAGGCAGAGAGAGAGACAGAGGCAGAGACAGAGACAGAGGCAGAGAGAGAGACAGAGGCAGAGGCAGAGGCAGAGACAGAGAGAGACAGAGACAGAGACAGAGACAGAGGCAGAGACAGAGACAGAGGCAGAGAGAGAGACAGAGGCAGAGGCAGAGACAGAGACAGAGAGAGACAGAGACAGAGACAGAGAGAGACAGAGACAGAGACAGAGACAGAGGCAGAGGCTGAGACAGAGACAGAGACAGAGACAGAGAGAGACAGAGACAGAGGCAGAGACAGAGACAGAGACAGAGACAGAGAGGCAGAGGCAGAGGCAGAGACAGAGGCAGAGGCAGAGACAGAGACAGAGACAGAGACAGAGACATTCCTTTCTGAGTCTCACACTCGACCTCCAGATAACGAGCTCGGGTCTAAAAATAAAAGTGAAAGTAAACCAAAGTGAGAAGTGAAAGATAAAGATTCTGTCTGA